GAAGAATTACAAATCGAAGGCTATAGTATTGTGGCGCGTATCGATGGAGAAACTGAGACTGGACAAAGCCGCTCACGGAAGGGAGTAATAATTTACTGTAAAACTGGTAATGAAAGTTGCTTTACCACAAGTTTCATTAAAAGTCATCATGTAGCCGGAAAAGTGTATCAGTTTCTGGCGATATCAAAACCAGACTTGGCAATCGCTGTAGTATACAGAAATCCATCTTTTTCATTACCAGCATTTAGAAGAATATTGGAAGAAGATATAAAGGAGCTGAGTAATAGAAATAATGGAGAATTAATAGTTGTTGGAGACTTTAATGTCTGTCGCATTACGTCAAATGATGTTCTTGGAACGCGCTTGAGCCAACTAGGATTGCATTCCTTACTGGAACATCTTCCAACTACAAAGCAACAAACCGCGATTGATTGGTTATTGGCAAGTTTTTCTGCAGACAGAACAAGGGCGATAACATATGAAACCTCATTCAGCGACCATGACGGGATATTTTTTAGTGTTGGCGATTAATGTTATTATATTTTCACATGTACCACATACGTTTGTATTTAAACACTTTGTTATAGAACACCTTAATTTAATTTATCATAAGTCTTTTTGTTTTATTTAATGTATTTGAAATTAAAAAGTAGTAGATAAAAATTAAATAAAGAATAAAATAACAAGTAAGAAAGTCTAAGTTCGGGTGGAGCCGAACATTAAATACCCGGCGCAAGTATTAAATATATGTTTTTCACCTTTCCGAAAGCTACCGCTAGATGGTAAGCCGGGGTGTATCAATTTTGAGTAAATTAGCGTCCTTAAATTTCGAAAAATTGCAGTTTAAAGCATTTCTGAAAATTACCGCTATATGAAAAGCGGCTGTAAGTTTAGTCCGATTTCAATTATTTTCAACATTTTGCTTTTATGTGGCAAGCACAATAACCATACCGAGTTTGGTACAAATTGGTATAACGGTTACCGAGATACATATATGTAATCATAAGTGGGCGGTGCCACGCTCATTTTCCAAAATTTTATTTATAAACGTCTTTCTTGGTAAAGAATTGTTGCAAGCATCAATTTTGAATAAATTTGCTTTAATAATTACTGATTTATCGAAGATTTTGTATTTTTCTAAATTACCGTTATATGGGATGTAGGCGTGGTTATCGTCCGATTTTAAAAATGGTCGGCCATTTGGTATGCTGTGCTAAGGCCAACAACTGTGCCAAGTTTGGAAGAAATTGGTGCAGCGGTTACCAAGATGTACACATGTAACCATAAGTGGGGCGTGGCTACGCCCATTTTCCAAAAATGTATAATATTCTTATTTTTCGTCTAAAAGTTATTGTAAATATCAATTTTGAGTGAATAATCTTCAGTAGTTACTAAAATATCGCAGTTTTCGTATTTCTGAAAATTACCGTTATATGGGAAGTGGTCGTGGTTACAGTCCGATTTAGCCCATTTTCAATACCAACCTACCTTGGAATGGAAACCTACATACCAAATTTCGTTGAGATATCTTAATTTTTGCTCGAGTTATCGTGTACACCGACGGACGGACAGACAGACATGGCTTAATCGACCTCTCTATTCATTCTGAGCATTTATGTATACATTTGTCTATATCTATCTCGATTCGTTTTGGCTGTTACAAACAAGCGTTATGTGAACAAAGTTAATATGCCCTTGTGCACAAGTGCGCTCGGGTATAAAAATTAACTGAACACATAAGGAAATTTGTATGTACGATGTAAATATTTATTAGATATTTATAAAAAAATAAATAGTATTTTCATATTGAATATTTTTACGCTGAAAATTTAGTAAGAAGTAGTAGATGAAAGACAGCTTTTTTATTTTCATGAAAGGTATGAAGGCTTCGGCATAGCCGAAGACAGCCCCTTTTTACTTGTTCATACTGCATATCTCTGGAATTGTTTATGGTAGAGTACTCGAACATGGTATGGAGATATATGAAAACAGTCGCATACTCATGGAGAAAATTTGTGGTTATTGGAAAAGGGGACGTGGTACCCTCCATACAAACAGTGATCGGACTTCTACCACATTGTGGTAGAGCTACCACTTTTTTGAACATCTACCACTTCTACCACACAAGGTCTGAAGTCTACCACATATTCGCGTTTTGGAGTAAATTTTTGCTCGACCTAATTTCTTTAAGTTTTTAATTTTGGAAGAAAAAATTGTCCCACACTAAACACAATGTGATAATGAATGAAAAATGAGAGAATACAAGGTTCCGCATTCTCGGCGGCGATGAGATTGAAACATTTTAACAGATTTAAAAGTAAACAAAGCAGAATAGGAGGATAAAATAGAAATAAACTGCCAAACAATTAATTTTCTTAATATTCAATTTTTCGACAGTGTTGCGAACACACCCGCCAGACTTCAAATGCAACCCTGCAGTTATTTGTCTTCTTTCATGTTCTTTCATTTCACTTACATATGTATTTCCAAATTTGAATTTGTCATTTACTGTTTGTACGCCAGTCTTACCGGCACAAGAATACAAAGTGTAAGAAATTATTTCTGCTAAACAACTTGTAAGATTTATATTATATATTATTTCAGTGAAATAAACGAACAACATTTCAACGGTGACAACGTCAACGTTCATTAAATATAAATTGGTGGTGTTCATTTCTTTTGTAAGTGCCAGCAGGAGCTTTGTGGCGTGCATAACAATTTTATTTCAACTTTCGCTGTTTCTTTCTGACGCCTGCGTTATTTCAAATTTAACGTTTTTCCGAAACAATGGAAACACGAAGTCAAACGAAAGCCGAAAAGGCATCATCAAGATCGTCGACGCCGCAGTCGACAGAATCTGATGAAATCGACATGGATGGAACTGTAGTTGCATCCACGGAACTTGAGAAGTCTTTACAAAAAATGGTTCTGGACTTGACCGAACGCATCAAGATCCTGGAATCAAGACCGATACCGACCTTGCAATCATCTACGTCGAGCAATTCTGAGTTTGCAATTGCAACGTCGACGTACACAACAAATTCCTCAAGTGATAATTTGCCTTCACAAATCGCTCAAATGCCAAAGAGCACACCGTTTTCTACGTGTAATTCATTGCAATCTGGTGCAACTGTNACGAAGTCAAACGAAAGCCGAAAAGGCATCATCAAGATCGTCGACGCCGCAGTCGACAGAATCTGATGAAATCGACATGGATGGAACTGTAGTTGCATCCACGGAACTTGAGAAGTCTTTACAAAAAATGGTTCTGGACTTGACCGAACGCATCAAGATCCTGGAATCAAGACCGATACCGACCTTGCAATCATCTACGTCGAGCAATTCTGAGTTTGCAATTGCAACGTCGACGTACACAACAAATTCCTCAAGTGATAATTTGCCTTCACAAATCGCTCAAATGCCAAAGAGCACACCGTTTTCTACGTGTAATTCATTGAAATCTGGTGCAACTGTTAGCTATGCACAGCGACCGGCGGTGCCATTGCAATCGCCGCACTTAAATTTCTTGCCGACGACTACTTGGAATTTACCATGCCTACCGTCAATACCCATGTCCGCCACCAGCACTACCACATACGCCCGACCGAACGTAATGCCTACTGCTGCCAGTACA